AAAGCGATAGCCAATACTATAGTTGCTCTTTTGTCTAATTTATGCTTAACGCATTACTGAAAAAATAAATTAGATGTCACTGATGTTAATACATCGTTAGCTAGACCACCAATTGAAGGACAGCAATTATTGATCGTTTAGCAAGGGGGTAAAAGCGCACTCCGCCACTCCAGCCACTCCGCGGAGTGAAGCACACTTTATGGCACTTCGGCACTCCGTACAATGGTCCGGAGTGGCGGAGTGTGCTTTTTTTTTCGAATAAAGTAGTGATATTTTGCTTAATGAAGATGTTCGTTCGATTTAAATGGTCCCTCCCCCCTTAGAAATGGTGATTCTCGGTCAAATAATTGATTTGGAGATACTCGCATGAAAAGATAGTCTGAAGTGTCTAGTTCCAGAATGTGTATCGGTTTTGGTTATGAAAGTGGTTTTGGAGGGATTTTGGGCAAGTTTTCTAAGAGCCTCGAAAAACCGGGTCTTCGAATAATAGTTTTAGTTTTTCCTGAATACTTATACAAATAAAATTTTTCTGAAGATACAGATTTGTTGAGCAGATTTCTCTGATCAAAATAAGACCTCGCACAAGTCTGTATGACCTTGCATTAAAACGTTACAGGCATTTTTCTAGAAGTCCTAAAGTTGAGTATGTCATAGAGCGTTTTCTCTAGTTTATTCTTTTTTTATTTGAAGGAGGAAAAGAAACTACATGGACTGAGTGGCGCCGATTTTTGAATTAGGTCTTACGAGGGAACCCCACGAAGTGATTAAACGGTTTTTGCTCGGAATCTAGTGGGTTATAGGTTATCGACCATGCTGATTACGAATACGACCATGCGGCTTCCGCATAGCTCTTCAAAGACCTGGTTTTCTAGAAAACGAGTTTTTCAGAAACCCCACTAAATAACCCGAACCTTTCGTAATGAGGCATGATTGTAGCCCGCACATTTCTGATTAAAATGAGATCTCTCCCAACTCTACATGATCTTTCTTTGCAAAGTTATGGAATTTACACGAAGAGCCCTAAATTAATTTCTTCTTATTTCTGTAGCTTTTAGCTGACAATGAACATTTAGGGCTTTTGTTGTAAATTCTATAACTTTGCAAAGAAAGATCATATAGAGTTGGAAGAGGTCTCATTTTAATCAGAAATGTGCGGGCTACAATCATGCCTCATTACGAAAGGTTCGGGTTATTTTTTGGGGTTTCTGAAAAACTCGTTTTCTAGAAAACCAGGTCTTCGAAGGGCTATGCGGAAGCCGCATGGTCGTATTCGTAATCAGCATGGTCGATAACCTATAACCCACTAGATTCCGAGCAAAAAGCATTTAATCACTTCGTGGGGTTCCCTCGTTAGTTTTTTGTCAAATTGAGGATTTTTAGAAAATCCGGAAGGCTTTTTCGGGTTTTGGAGGTTATTGGTTGCCTGGGAAACCAATAAAGGCTTAATTGAAAAAACAACTATGGAGGATATCGTATATTTCATAAAAAAGTGTACAAAAACTTTTCATTTTTAATCCCGTTTACTCATTTCGACTACTCGCGTTAATCTATCTGATGATAAACGAGTATTTTTATCAGTTAACAACCAACACGCTTTTTGTTTATGAAGAAATTTATGTTCGTCATTAATTTTTATATCGAAGTAGGAATCACCCAATGTCGGATTGATTGTTTCCAGTAATCGGATACCAGGAAAGTTTTCGTTTTTGATCTTAATACCTCGTTTAATTCTGTTTCATTTTCACTGTCACAATCACTTTCAGTTTTATTATCACCATGTCGTTCATTATTCGTTGTTATTTCATTGTCCGAATCGGATTCAGATTCATACTGATCGGCGAGTGTTGAATGATCGTTTGTATTAGTCAAATGATTACGTACATATAAATTCAAATCATTTAATTCTAACGCTTTGTTTTGTTTCAGTAGAGTCGACATTTTCAATTTAACGATTATCTTTTTTGCTTGTTGATAAGCATTATTAATAATAGTTTCAATGCACGTTATTTTCAAACGAGGATTATCATCAATTAAATTAGATGAATGTTTTTTATGTTTATGATGAATTGGAAACAATATTTCATTTTCATGCGGATGTAATTGTTCATAGGCCTTTATTTCGTTTAAAACAGATAGTTTTTGACCCCGTCGCAGAAAATCATTCACAGTAAAATTTGTAATGCTTGAATACACACCGCTCAATGATCTGGCATTCCTGAAAGTTGCTTCACACGCTTGCAAATTAAATAAAAACACATTCAGTGCTTCTACTGGTAAATCTTCTTGGATAACTAATAGCGTCAGATACAATAAATTATGTGCGTTTAATTCAATCGAATAAAATGCGGATGTAGTTATAAAATATTTATTAATTTGTTTCAACGATTTTTTTGTCGATTTATCAAGAAACGTACTGTGTTTTAACCACGTCCACCAAAAACGGCTAACAAAGACGATCACCCACGCATGATATAAACGATTGGAAATTGGTGTTGACTGATCAATGTATGCAATGATAATAGAACTTAATAACTGAAGATAGACAAATGTTGCTTGTGTTTCGTTTGCGTTACTCAATAAATTCAAAACATTCGCACTTGATATTTTCACACAAGAAGCATAATTTTGACGGCCTTTTGGAAAAATATCAGTGCTAACCAGACCACGCTCTAGTTTTGAATTATTCTCAATTAAATCTGTTAAATGTGGCAAGGTGATAGAGAATTCTCCCATTTTTAATTCGACTGATTTTGACAGTAAACGGTTACGTAATTTGGTAGCAAGATGAGTAGGATCTTGGAAGAACAATAACAATTGTTGTTTCCGAAGGTAAAACCATGTCCATGTTGCTGGAACAGCAACCTCAAATGCTCCAGGTTGTTCATGTAGTTTCAAACTTGATAAATCAGCAAAAAATCCGCTAACCAATTTCATTACTCGTAAATATTTGCTGTCGCAATCTGTTTATAAAGAAAGCAGAAGAACAGTAGTTTAGAGTCCTGTGGGATTAAACTTTTTGACCCTAATCCAAAAAAAAGGGCGCTTCTGATTTTAGAAAAAAATTCTCTTCTCAACCCCGATTCCGTAGTGTTCAGTATACAAGGAGCATAGTACCTGTTGAGAAACCAATGATACGAATTTGTTTGGCTGAGCATTGTTCATAGATGTGTATCCAACGTCGAAAAATATCAATTGCTGTAAATTTGCTGTCAGTTCCGTATGCCGCTAATATAACTGGCGAACAATTTTTCATTGACTGAGCTAACGGTTGAAACATGTGAATATTTAAGAGTGGAGCTTTCTCAATATTAGAGAACCACTCTTTCAATTGATCAAATGAATCAGTTTTAAAATGTTGTTCGAATGGAATGCCATTTTCAAGTGGAGTACAGAATCCGATGGATGAATTAGTGTTGGTATCATATTGTATTTTTCTGACTATCCCAGTGCAATCTTCAGACGCAAAACCAATTGATGTATTCGTTCTACCCAAATGTTGTTCTAGCTCATTGAAACGAAAACGACCTTCGACGAATGTTGAATTTTTATCTTTTATCAATGTGATTAACGTTGGTAAACTTGGTAAAGAGCCATTCAAATTCATTCGTACAAAATCATATACGTTCTTCCCCCCTAATATGAACAACGACAAAGCGAACCTCTGCACCACTGAGTCGTATCTGTGATTGTTGTTTGATTTTGATAGATTGTTGGTTATATTATCAATGAACGTCAATGTGAATGTTGATTTATTTGATGAATGTTCTGAATTTTTCTCGTAAAATGACATCAATGATTTTTATCAACCAGATCACGAAGAAAATGCACCTTATTGTCATCATCATTATTACATTTGTATTGTTGCTCGTTTGGGGCTTTTAAAAGCGTTAACAAATTATCTAAACCATTTCGTAATCCACTTTTCACTACATACGTTTTATCTTCCATGATGAAACACGATTTTCTTTTTAATTCGACTAGTTCAGCGCAATCATAATTAGGGGTGGCACATTACTGTTACTTTTACGAGTAATCCAAATATTGTGAATATTCCCGTTATCACTAACAGTAATACTTTCCAGTTTTATTGTTGCTGGTACAAATTTTTAGAACATTCCTATTACTAGCAACAGTAAAACTGAAAAGTATTGCTGTTACTGATAACAGGAATATTTACAATATTTGGATTACTCGTACAAGTAATAGTAATGTGCCACCCCTAATCATAATCAAATATTTGGAAAATATTTTCCGTACACATTAACGACTGAATTGAATTGATCAATTGAACCTTTAAAATATCAACTAAACCTTCACCATACACATTACCAATTAACTGGAAAAAAAGATGATCTTTGTAACTAAAAACATCATCCGGGAGTGTAACGATAACAAACAGTTTATCGTTATCCATCTCTTGATTCAAGATTAAGACGAAAAGGATCTAAAATAAAAACTCATTACTCATTACTCTCGAAGAATATATTGACTATTACAGAGACGCCAAAGGCAGTAGATTCACTCTTGGAAGGAAAGAATTCAGAAAAGCGGACATGTCTTGATACAAGAACGAAATATCTCTCTACTTCCTCTCTGTGCAAACATTTCTAAAAATCCCCGTCTGAAAATAAACGAATACAAAATCCTAGTTTATAAATAAAATAAAATTCTTCTCTTTCACAATGACATTTGAGTTAAATCAAAATCTTTCTATAAAATACAGGATACCTTCTCGATTATTACACATTAAAAAATTGAATTCAACAATATCGATATCTCGCATAAAAATACAACCGTATAGCACAATAAAAGAAAGCTTTCTCATTTATCTTCCACGAATTCGTTTGACTCGAACTGAAGATGAGACTACTTGGGATAATGGACGTTTTTTCTGATTTTTAACTACTGTTTCAGGTTCCTTTGAGCTTGTGGTATCAGCAACAGAAGCAATATCACCACCACTGGCCTCTTCTTCTTCTTCTACTTTCTCTTCTTTACTTGCACCATCGTCTTGGCTTTTCTTCTTCTTATCGTCGTTTTTCCTTTGTTTCATCATTGAACATTTTTTACTTTTCAGATGAGCATAAAAATTAGATAACTGAAAACATTTTCGAGTCTTAAGTTTAACGCCACAATTACAACGGATTGATGCTTCCAAATTCTCGGTATCGTCATTTATGTAGAGTTTATAATCATCAACAATTGATAAAGACAGTTCATCCAAACCTATCGATTCTTTTTCTCTCTCACACCACGTATCTATCGTTTTAATGATCTGATTACGATGTTCATGTTCAGTAATGGTTGTTGAAGGTGGTACGGTTGGACTCGTTGTCGACGATGAGAGTAATTGAGTAGAAGATACCGCTAATTGATTAGAAGATGAAGAAGGTACTTGCGTGAATGGTAATTGAAGTTGAGATGATACAGTAACACTTCTTGATTTAGCTTTAAGCTGCCTCAAATGATCATCAAATTTACTACGAAATAATTCAACCACATAGGAAACACTGCTCCGATAACCAGGTTTTACCATAAATGTACCATCAGTCAACTTGAATGATAATTTATCACGAATGTTTTCAATATCCGGACAGTCGAGTTTCAAAATTTCAAATACGTCTGGAGTTGTTTTCAGCAAACATGGAATATTGTGTATTGCTTGGACATTAAATAATTCGGCAATATCTTCACCAACTAATTGTTCAACAAGACGGATAAATTTGTCATTGGTATACGTCAACACATCGCTTGGAAGAGTGCTGGTGTCAACACACGGTTTTGAAGTAGCCATTATTTAAAGTACACTATGATAACTTAATTCTGAAACAGTCGTATCGTTATTCGTTTTCTTTCTCTTTAATTTTCGCACGTGTGATTTATTATCCTATATTTAAACATTGAATTTTTTAGCCGAATGATTAAAACCCAAGATTGTTAAAACCTCATGTATTGAAAGAAGCAACTCGTAACTCATCCAAAACATAATTTCTTTCTCAAATTCAAGCGCTTGTATGACGACGTGATATGTGTATAACTACCCCACATATATGACCACTTAATATGTCCCACATATGCGTGTCATTGACTACGCAATACGTAAACAGATATAGGGTACATATATGACTACGTGATATACGACTAAAAAGACGACTAGGCATTAGATGTGTGATCAAATAAGACCCCTTCAAAAAAATAGATTATTAGCTTGCGTAATCAAAATAGGACCCCTGAAAAAAAATGTAAATTAATTATTTCATACGCAACACAACTTAAAATTCATTTTCCAAGAAAACCGACTTACCCGTAATACTGTCCAGCATGTTTTTCACGTTTAAAAAAAAATTTTTTTCAGATGCATGTTTTTTCGTTCAAATCTCTACAGATGCATCTGCTCGTCAAAAAGTAAAATAGCATCAGGTTTATATACTGATCAAGATAATAAAGAACGATTTTTCATTTCCTTCAAACAGAAGCACTCCAAAACATTTCAGCCTAAAATTCAGCAAATTCTTACAAATTTCCATTTTTCTTTGGACAAAAATTTCCACTTCTAATAAAGAATTTCACAAAATTTCACTCTCCCTTTCAATAAACAATCAAAATAAAAACATTTCTCTCTCTTATTTTTCCGTCTGCATAAACAAATTCCTATATAAACAGTCACCATATGAAAACTACCTGCTTTTTCCTCGCAACGATTCAAGCCGGGAGACCGCGATATTTGGATCGGGCATGCCGAGAAACGATGTTCACCTAAGTTTCATCTTGAAGGCAGACAAAAAGTTCCTGTCGAAATTTTTGGCTGAGGTCCCCCTCAGGTGTTTTGCCTAAAATTTAGGACGAAAACGTTTTTTTTCAAAACACGTCGAATTATATATCATTCGATGCAGTGTTTTTCGTAGATTCCGAATATCACATTGGTTTTGCATAAAAATGCTTCTGAACGTTTAAAATTTAAGTTTTTCACTTTTTCCGTTCTGCATATATAAGTTCGTGTTCACTGTGAAAAAGAGAAAATA